TTATTACATCATCCTCATGAACTGTGAAATGAATGTAGAACAGTGAAGTGACCACAGCATGTGGTGGTGGTGTAGGGGAACAGAGCAGTGTGTGACTGTTTCCTGTGTCCAGGTCGACCATGTCTGAGGAGGAGTGTCGTGATCTGGAGACTGAGATCTCTAGGCCGGAGGAGGAGCTGAGGTTCATGAAGGTAACACTAGTGTTCATATCTGAGAGGTCAAATGTCATTGGTTGTCCAGGTTGACCCCGTCTGAGGATAAGTGGCATTGTCTGGAGACTGAGATCTATTTTCTGAAGAAGAAGCTGGAGGTGCTGAATGTAAGACTAGTGGCCATGTCTATAGTCAATGTGAGCAAACCACATACAGTAGATCACAATATTCTCTGAAGACACTGCAATCTACTGTGTGTGTATGTTTGTCTGTGTGTGTGTGTGTGTGTGTAGAGGAGAGGGCTGCTGGCAGAGTTCAACAGGGATGAGCAGTCTGCCAAACTCCCCAGCACCTCTTCTGGAAGGTGAGTGGACATACAAAGATGAAATGAGTCTAATATTAACAACTCTACCATAACATATTTTATTACATCATCCTCATGAACTGTGAAATGAATGTAGAACAGTGAAGTGACCACAGCATGTGGTGGTGGTGTAGGGGAACAGAGCAGTGTGTGACTGTTTCCTGTGTCCAGGTCGACCATGTCTGAGGAGGAGTGTCGTGATCTGGAGACTGAGATCTCTAGGCCGGAGGAGGAGCTGAGGTTCATGAAGGTAACACTAGTGTTCATATCTGAGAGGTCAAATGTCATTGGTTGTCCAGGTTGACCCCGTCTGAGGATAAGTGGCATTGTCTGGAGACTGAGATCTATTTTCTGAAGAAGAACCTGGAGGTGCTGAATGTAAGACTAGTGGCCATGTCTATAGTCAATGTGAGCAAACCACATACAGTAGATCACAATATTCTCTGAAGACACTGCAATCTACTGTGTGTGTATGTTTGTCTGTGTGTGTGTGTATGTAGTGGAGAGGGCGGCTGGCAGAGGCCAACAGGGATGAGCAGTCTGCCAAACTCCCCAGCACCTCTTCTGGAAGGTGAGTGGACATACAAAGATGAAATGAGTCTAATATTAACAACTCTACCATAACATATTTTATTACATCATCCTCATGAACTGTGAAATGAATGTAGAACAGTGAAGTGACCACAGCATGTGGTGGTGGTGTAGGGGAACAGAGCAGTGTGTGACTGTTTCCTGTGTCCAGGTGGACCCGTCTGGAGAGAAGCGTCGTCTGGAGACTGAGATCTCTAGGCCGGAGGAGCTGAGGTTCATGAAGGTAACACTAGTGTTCATATCTGAGAGGTCAAATGTCATTGGTTGTCCAGGTTGACCCCGTCTGAGGATAAGTGGCATTGTCTGGAGACTGAGATCTATTTTCTGAAGAAGAAGCTGGAGGTGCTGAATGTAAGACTAGTGGCCATGTCTATAGTCAATGTGAGCAAACCACATACAGTAGATCACAATATTCTCTGAAGACACTGCAATCTACTGTGTGTGTATGTTTGTCTGTGTGTGTGTGTGTGTAGAGGAGAGGGCGGCTGGCAGAGGCCAACAGGGATGAGCAGTCTGCCAAACTCCCCAGCACCTCTTCTGGAAGGTGAGTGGACATACAAAGATGAAATGAGTCTAATATTAACAACTCTACCATAACATATTTTATTACATCATCCTCATGAACTGTGAAATGAATGTAGAACAGTGAAGTGACCACAGCATGTGGTGGTGGTGTAGGGGAACAGAGCAGTGTGTGACTGTTTCCTGTGTCCAGGTCGACCATGTCTGAGGAGGAGTGTCGTGATCTGGAGACTGAGATCTCTAGGCCGGAGGAGGAGCTGAGGTTCATGAAGGTAACACTAGTGTTCATATCTGAGAGGTCAAATGTCATTGGTTGTCCAGGTTGACCCCGTCTGAGGATAAGTGGCATTGTCTGGAGACTGAGATCTATTTTCTGAAGAAGAAGCTGGAGGTGCTGAATGTAAGACTAGTGGCCATGTCTATAGTCAATGTGAGCAAACCACATACAGTAGATCACAATATTCTCTGAAGACACTGCAATCTACTGTGTGTGTATGTTTGTCTGTGTGTGTGTGTGTGTGTAGAGGAGAGGGCGGCTGGCAGAGTCCAACAGGGATGAGCAGTCTGCCAAACTCCCCAGCACCTCTTCTGGAAGGTGAGTGGACATACAAAGATGAAATGAGTCTAATATTAACAACTCTACCATAACATATTTTATTACATCATCCTCATGAACTGTGAAATGAATGTAGAACAGTGAAGTGACCACAGCATGTGGTGGTGGTGTAGGGGAACAGAGCAGTGTGTGACTGTTTCCTGTGTCCAGGTCGACCCATGTCTGAGAGGAAGTGTCGTGATCTGGAGACTGAGATCTCTAGGCCGGGAGGAGCTGAGGTTCATGAAGGTAACACTAGTGTTCATATCTGAGAGGTCAAATGTCATTGGTTGTCCAGGTTGACCCCGTCTGAGGATAAGTGGCATTGTCTGGAGACTGAGATCTATTTTCTGAAGAAGAAGCTGGAGGTGCTGAATGTAAGACTAGTGGCCATGTCTATAGTCAATGTGAGCAAACCACATACAGTAGATCACAATATTCTCTGAAGACACTGCAATCTACTGTGTGTGTATGTTTGTCTGTGTGTGTGTGTATGTAGTGGAGAGGGCGGCTGGCAGAGTTCAACAGGGATGAGCAGTCTGCCAAACTCCCCAGCACCTCTTCTGGAAGGTGAGTGGACATACAAAGATGAAATGAGTCTAATATTAACAACTCTACCATAACATATTTTATTACATCATCCTCATGAACTGTGAAATGAATGTAGAACAGTGAAGTGACCACAGCATGTGGTGGTGGTGTAGGGGAACAGAGCAGTGTGTGACTGTTTCCTGTGTCCAGGTCGACCATGTCTGAGGAGGAGTGTCGTGATCTGGAGACTGAGATCTCTAGGCCGGAGGAGGAGCTGAGGTTCATGAAGGTAACACTAGTGTTCATATCTGAGAGGTCAAATGTCATTGGTTGTCCAGGTTGACCCCGTCTGAGGATAAGTGGCATTGTCTGGAGACTGAGATCTATTTTCTGAAGAAGAAGCTGGAGGTGCTGAATGTAAGACTAGTGGCCATGTCTATAGTCAATGTGAGCAAACCACATACAGTAGATCACAATATTCTCTGAAGACACTGCAATCTACTGTGTGTGTATGTTTGTCTGTGTGTGTGTGTGTGTAGAGGAGAGGGCTGCTGGCAGAGTTCAACAGGGATGAGCAGTCTGCCAAACTCCCCAGCACCTCTTCTGGAAGGTGAGTGGACATACAAAGATGAAATGAGTCTAATATTAACAACTCTACCATAACATATTTTATTACATCATCCTCATGAACTGTGAAATGAATGTAGAACAGTGAAGTGACCACAGCATGTGGTGGTGGTGTAGGGGAACAGAGCAGTGTGTGACTGTTTCCTGTGTCCAGGTCGACCATGTCTGAGGAGGAGTGTCGTGATCTGGAGACTGAGATCTCTAGGCCGGAGGAGGAGCTGAGGTTCATGAAGGTAACACTAGTGTTCATATCTGAGAGGTCAAATGTCATTGGTTGTCCAGGTTGACCCCGTCTGAGGATAAGTGGCATTGTCTGGAGACTGAGATCTATTTTCTGAAGAAGAAGCTGGAGGTGCTGAATGTAAGACTAGTGGCCATGTCTATAGTCAATGTGAGCAAACCACATACAGTAGATCACAATATTCTCTGAAGACACTGCAATCTACTGTGTGTGTATGTTTGTCTGTGTGTGTGTGTATGTAGTGGAGAGGGCGGCTGGCAGAGGCCAACAGGGATGAGCAGTCTGCCAAACTCCCCAGCACCTCTTCTGGAAGGTGAGTGGACATACAAAGATGAAATGAGTCTAATATTAACAACTCTACCATAACATATTTTATTACATCATCCTCATGAACTGTGAAATGAATGTAGAACAGTGAAGTGACCACAGCATGTGGTGGTGGTGTAGGGGAACAGAGCAGTGTGTGACTGTTTCCTGTGTCCAGGTGGACCCCGTCTGGAGAGAAGCGTCGTCTGGAGACTGAGATCTCTAGGCCGGAGGAGCTGAGGTTCATGAAGGTAACACTAGTGTTCATATCTGAGAGGTCAAATGTCATTGGTTGTCCAGGTTGACCCCGTCTGAGGATAAGTGGCATTGTCTGGAGACTGAGATCTATTTTCTGAAGAAGAAGCTGGAGGTGCTGAATGTAAGACTAGTGGCCATGTCTATAGTCAATGTGAGCAAACCACATACAGTAGATCACAATATTCTCTGAAGACACTGCAATCTACTGTGTGTGTATGTTTGTCTGTGTGTGTGTGTGTGTAGAGGAGAGGGCTGCTGGCAGAGTTCAACAGGGATGAGCAGTCTGCCAAACTCCCCAGCACCTCTTCTGGAAGGTGAGTGGACATACAAAGATGAAATGAGTCTAATATTAACAACTCTACCATAACATATTTTATTACATCATCCTCATGAACTGTGAAATGAATGTAGAACAGTGAAGTGACCACAGCATGTGGTGTTGGTGTAGGGGAACAGAGCAGGGTGTGACTGTTTCCTGTGTCCAGGTTGACCCTGTCTAGAAAGAAGTGTCGCCCTCTGGAGGCTGAGATCTCTAGTCTGAAGAAGAAGCTGAGGTTCACGAAGGTAACACTAGTAGTCATATCTGAGAGGTCAAATGTCATTGAGATCAAACCACATATAGATCACAGCCACATACTGTGTGTGTGTGTGTGTGTTAAAGTTCCAACTGTAATCTATTTTATGATGATATTGAGGGACCAGTAGAAATATTCTAATACGTCTTAACAATATTAATATATTCATGTTCTTTATTTTATATCAGTAGTCAGTTTTTCTATTCCTTCCTCACTGTTGTCACCTTTGTTGTTTTAGAGAACGTTGGTTTTTCCAGCTCTGCTGCTGACAACTCTGGAGGAGATGAACCCACATGAGCTGAAGACATTTCAGTCTTTCCTGACTAGTGGCCTGCTGCCTGACTGTCCTCCCATCCCAGAGAGTCAGCTGGAGAACGCTGACAGACAGGTCACAGTGGATCAGATGGTGAAGACATACGGCCCTGAGAGAGCTGTGGAGATCACACTGAGGATCCTGAGGGGGATGAAGCGGGTAGACCTAGCAGAGAAGTTAGAGACAGATCACAGAGGAGGTAACAGAACAAGAATGTACATCAATCTATACATCACAATCACAGTTCAGTGGAGGTCTAACCAGAAAGAACATTCAACTGACTTCATAAAACATTCAGCAGGCCTCTCTTTTATCATTTTTATTCATGATGTATCCAGGTTACCCCATTATGTTTAAACAGCAATCCAACATTCATTATATTCCATACATACAATTACCAATGCAGTAGGGAAGATATCACAAACGGATTAGACTTTCTAATCATGGCTGTATATCTCTTCCTGAGCTTCCGAATTTGGAAGATGAACCAGAATGATCTGGCAGAGAAGTTAGAGAGAGATCAGAGAAGTAGGATTGTAGATAAGGACCCTAACTGTCTCTCTATCCCCCCTCCTATCTTCCCCTCTATTTCCCCTGTTTCCCCCTCTTTCTCAGGTACTGCCTCAACCTCTCACCTGCCCTTAGTCCCACCAGGCCCCGATCCGTCCTCTCCCCTGTGTGGTTACCCCCCATTTCCCCCCTTCTCTCCAGCTCTATCTTCTTCCCAGTGTGGTTACCCTCCAGGTCCTCCTCCTCCTTCCTTTCTGTCTCATCTAGGTTCTGGTAGTAGCTTAGGACAGCTCATCTCACAGGTAAGAGGACGGTTAGAGAATTTTAGGATCACTTCTACCCTCATATGTTAAAACACCTGTACTCACTGTCATAGTCAGTTCTACAGTATGAAATGATACAGTCCACACATACAGTCTAGATAATTAACTAATCTCTCATGTACACTATGAGTGGTGGGGGTCAGACTGCATCCCTACACACATACACACTCACCATTAGACAAAAAAGCTGTGAATATATTTATGTATAGCCGTGTGTGTGTGTGTGTGTGTGTGTGTGTGTGTGTGTGTGTGTGTGTGTGTGTGTGTGTGTGTGTGTGTGTGTGTGTGTGTGTGTGTGTGTGTGTGTGTGTGTGTGTGTGTGTGTGTGTGTGTGTGTGTGTGTGTGTGTGTGTGTGTGTGTGTGTGTGTGTGTGTGTGTAGGAGGAAGCTGCCTCTGAGATGGAAAGGAAGCCAGCAGGGGAGGAGAGTGGAGAACTCCCCAGCACCTCTTCTGGAATGTGAGTGGACATAGAGTATATTATCTATTATCTACCTGGTACAGCCAGGGCCACCCCTCAGAGTGGATATGAGTGGACATAGAGTATATTATCTATTATCTACTAACAGAGATCCCCCGGGTGTAATTCATACTCTGTACTAGTCTGTTCTCTACTGGTAAAGAAGGGGACTGGCCAACCCTCAGATCCTGGTTCCTCTCGAGGTTTCTTCCAGTGGAGGACAGCTCATAGTAATGGCTGGAATGGAGTCAATGGAATGGTATCAAACATGTTGTTTCCATATGTTTGATACCATTCCTTGATTCCATTCCACCCTTTACTATGAGCCGTCCTCCCATCAGCAGCCTCCACTGGTTTCTTCCTAGTCACTGTGCTTCTACATCTGCATTGCTTGGTGTTTGGGGTTTTAGGCTGGGTTTCTGTATAAGCACTTTGTCACAACTGCTGATGTAAAAAGGGCTTTATAAAATAAATTTGATTGATTTGCTATAGGCACTGGTAAGATTGAATATATGAGTCTACTGGTATGGTGCTGGAGAGAAATCAACTTTAAAAGCAGTGAATTGCCCCTCTAACATCTCTTCTATACCTCTATTACATCATCCTCATGACCTGTGAAATGAATGTAGAACAGTGAGGTGACCACAGCATGTGGTGGTGGTGTAGGGGAACAGAGCAGTGTGTGACTGTTTCCTGTGTCCAGGTTGATCCTGTCTGAGGGGGAGTGTCGTGATCTGGAGGCTGAGATCTCTTGGCTGAAGGTGAAGCTGGTGCTGAATGTAAGACTAGTGGCCATGTCTATAGTCAATGTGAGCAAACCATGTACAGTAGATCACAATATTCTCTGAAGACACTGCAATCTACTGTGTGTGTATGTTTGTCTGTGTGTGTTTGTAGAGGAGAGGGCGGCAGTCAGAGGCCAACAGGGATGAGCAGTCTGCCAAACTCCCCAGCACCTCTTCTGGAAGGTGAGTGGACATAATACGATGAAATGAGTCTAATATTAACAACTCTACCATAACATATTTTATTACATCATCCTCATGAACTGTGAAATGAATGTAGAACAGTGAAGTGACCACAGCATGTGGTGGTGGTGTAGGGGAACAGAGCAGTGTGTGACTGTTTCCTGTGTCCAGGTTGACCATGTCTGAGGATGAGTGTCGTCGTCTGGAGGCTGAGATCTCTAGTCTGAAGGAGAAACTGAGGTTCATGAAGGTAACACTAGTGGTCATGTCTGAGAGGTCAAATGTCATTGTGAACAAACCCCATATAGATCACAGCCACATACAGTGGGGGAAAAAAAAGTATTTAGTCAGCCACCAATTGTGCAAGTTCTCCCACTTAAAAATATGAGAGAGGCCTGTAATTTTCATCATAGGTACACGTCAACTATGACAGACAAATTGATAATTTTTTTTCCAGAAAATCACATTGTAGGATTTTTTATGAATTTATTTGCAAATTATGGTGGAAAATAAGTATTTGGTCACCTACAAACAAGCAAGATTTCTGGCTCTCACAGACCTGTAACTTATTTTTAATAGGCTCCTCTGTCCTCCACTCGTTACCTGTATTAATGGCACCTGTTTGAACTTGTTATCAGTATAAAAGACACCTGTCCACAACCTCAAACAGTCACACTCCAAACTCCACTATGGCCAAGACCAAAGAGCTGTCAAAGGACACCAGAAACAAAATTGTAGACCTGCACCAGGCTGGGAAGACTGAATCTGCAATAGGTAAGCAGCTTGGTTTGAAGAAATCAACTGTGGGAGCAATTATTAGGAAATGGAAGACATACAAGACCACTGATAATCTCCCTCGATCTGGGGCTCCACGCAAGATCTCACCCCGTGGGGTCAAAATGATCACAAGAACGGTGAGCAAAAATCCCAGAACCACACGGGGGGACCTAGTGAATGACCTGCAGAGAGCTGGGACCAAAGTAACAAAGCCTACCATCAGTAACACACTACGCCGCCAGGGACTCAAATCCTGCAGTGCCAGACATGTCCCCCTGCTTAAGCCAGTACATGTCCAGGCCCGTCTGAAGTTTGCTAGAGTGCGTTTGGATGATCCAGAAGAGGATTGTGAGAATGTCATATGGTCAGATGAAACAAAAATATAACTTTTTGGTAAAACCTCAACTCGTCGTGTTTGGAGGACAAAGAATGCTGAGTTGCATCCAAAGAACACCATACCTACTGTGAAGCATGGGGGTGGAAACATCATGCTTTGGGGCTGTTTTTCTGCAAAGGGACCAGGACGACTGATCCGTGTAAAGGAAAGAATGAATGGGGCCATGTATCGTGAGATTTTGAGTGAAAACCTCCTTCCATCAGCAAGGGCATTGAAGATGAAACGTGGCTGGGTCTTTCAGCATGACAATGATCCCAAACACACCGCCCGGGCAACGAAGGAGTGGCTTCGTAAGAAGCATTTCAAGGGCCTGGAGTGGCCTAGCCAGTCTACAGATCTCAACCCCATAGAAAATCTTTGGAGGGAGTTGAAAGTCTGTGTTGCCCAGCGACAGCCCCAAAACATCACTGCTCTAGAGGAGATCTGCATGGAGGATTGGGCCAAAATACCAGCAACAGTGTGTGAAAACCTTGTGAAGACCTACAGAAAATGTTTGACCTGTGTCATTGCCAACAAAGGGTATATAACAAAGTATTGAGAAACTTTTGTTATTAACCAAATACTTATTTTCCACCATAATTTGCAAATAAATTCATAAAAAATCCTACAATGTGATTTTCTGGAAAAAAAATTATCAATTTGTCTGTCATAGTTGACGTGTACCTATGATGAAAATTACAGGCCTCTCTCATATTTTTAAGTGGGAGAACTTGCACAATTGGTGGCTGACTAAATACTTTTCCCCCCCACTGTACTGTGTGTGCCTGTGTGTGTGTGTGTTAAATTTCCAACTGTAATCTATTATATGATGATATGAGAATGAGATATTGAGAGACCAGTAGAAATATTCTAGTACGTCTTAACAATATTAATATATTCATGTTCTTTATTTTATATCAGTAGTCAGTTTTTCTATTCCTTCCTCACTGTTGTCACCTTTGTTGTTTTAGAGAATGTTGGCTGTTCCAGCTCTGCTGCTGACAACTCTGGAGGAGATGAACCCACATGAGCTGAAGACATTTCAGTCTTTCCTGACTAGTGGCCTGCTGCCTGACTGTCCTCCCATCCCAGAGAGTCAGCTGGAGAACGCTGACAGACAGGTCACAGTGGATCAGATGGTGAAGACATACGGCCCTGAGAGAGCTGTGGAGATCACACTGAGGATCCTGAGGGGGATGAAGCGGGTAGACCTAGCAGAGAAGTTAGAGACAGATCACAGAGGAGGTAACAGAACAAGAATGTACATCAATCTATACATCACAATCACAGTTCAGTGTAGGTCTAACCAGAAAGAACATTCAACTGACTCCATAATAACATTCAGCAGGCCCCTCTTTTATCATTTTTATTCATGCTGTATCCAGGTGACCCCATTATGTTTAAACAGCAATCCAACATTCATTATATTACATACATACAATTACCAATACAGTAGGGAAGATTTTACAAACAGATTAGACTTTCTAATCATGGCTGTATATCTCTTCCTGAGCTTCCTAATCTGGAAGATGAACCAGAATGATCTGGCAGAGAAGTTAGAGAGAGATCAGAGAAGTAGGATTGTAGACAAGGACCCTAACTGTCTCTCTATCCCCCCTCCTATCTTCCCCTCTATTTCCCCTGTTTCCCCCTCTTTCTCAGGTACTGCCTCAACCTCTCCCCTGTGCGGTTACCCTCCACGTCCCCCCTTCCTCTACCCTGGCTCGTCCGAGGAGGTGTTGTCGTTAACTTCTGCTGGTAGCTCAGGAAACTTCATCTCACAGGTAAGAGGACGGTTAGAGAAGTGTAGGATCACTTCTACCCTCATATGTTAAAACACCTGTACTCACTGTCATAGTCAGTTCTACAGTATGAAATGATACAGTCCACACATACAGTCTAGATAATTAACTAATCTCTCATGTACACTATGAGTGGTGGGGGTCAGACTGCATCCCTACACACACACACACCATTAGACATAAAATATGTGAATATATTCCTGTACCATGTTGTGTGTATGTGGCTGTGTTCATGTTCTTTATATCAGTATCCAGTATTTATATTCCTTCCTTATATCTTGTCACCTTTTTAGAGACCCCAAATATTGTCTGGTTCAGCTCTGCTGCTGACCACTCCAGAGGAGCTCACTGAAGAACAGCTGACTAATGACGAGCTGCTTAGCGTTCTTTCCATCCCAGAGAGTCAGCTGGAGAACGCTGACATACAGGTCACAGTGGATCAGATGGAGAGATACGACTCTTTGAGAGCTATGGGGATCACAGAGACGTTCGACAGATATCACAGTAGAGGTAACACAGCAAGATGATATATCTATCATCGCACACTCAGTTCTGGGATATTGAGTGATAGAGATTGTATTCATACAAAGATCCCGCACAGCCTGTTGACTGATTCTGAACTGACTATTACACTAACCTGTGGGTATGTTAACCAGCCAACAACACTTTAAACTCTCTCTCTCTCTACTCTCTCTCTCTCTCTCTCTCTCTCTCTCTCTCTCTCTCTCTCTCTCTCTCTCTCTCTCTCTCTCTCTCTCTCCTCTCTCTCTCTCTCTCTCTCTCTCTCTCTCTCTCTCACTCACTCACTCACTCACTCACTCACTCACTCACTCTCACTCACCCCTACAGGAAAGAAAAGGAGAACAAATGAGCCACCATCCTGGCCTGTTCTCGTTTCCAGGGATAAAAAGAGTGAGGAGGATTGTGTCCCACTGACTGACGGAGCTCCGCCCATCATCAAACATAAGGTGCCCGATTGTCCCTGCCCTTCTCACTGCTGCCATGGTGGGCAACATGTTCACAATAGAACAGAAAACAGGTCAAATTTACATAGAACATTTTTCTATTATAGAAGTATGTTTCTATTCTGTTGATTTGAATCTAGGAAACCCCAAAGCTGGAGATGGACTGTCCTCCCATCCTAGACATCCCACTGGAGATGGCTAACAGTGTCAACACAGAGGTAGCTGTGAATACCCAGGAGAACACCCAGAGGATGGACGAGGAGTTGGGAAGAGAAAGGGGTAACAGCTAATATATTAATCTGGATCAATGATGAAGTTGAAGTTGTATAGAAAAACATGATGATTGATCTATATTTGGTTCTCTTAGATTCTCCTCTCTTCCTGGAACACCATCACATGGTAAGACCCTCATCATGAAGAGAGAAAGACTGAAAGAGAGAACATTTTAATTTAAAAACTATTCTTCACACTATTGGTTGAATTACAGTATCTATTGTTTCTACATTTTAGAGTTCTCCAGATGAATTTACACCTGAAATCCACGATCAGGACAACAGGAGAGAATACCAGTAACTTAATATATTTAATGTTTCTTATTGGTAGTTTCTATAAAAGAAGGACAATACCTTAAATCCAGGAAATCTCATTAAAATGAAATCCTTCATTGTTTGTTCTACAGGTTCCAGTGCCTCCGTTCAGGTCTGTTCCAGTGCAGTATAACAGGCCTGGTGTTTAGGATGGAGGGAGAGGGAGAGGTGCTCTATAGGACAGTCCCCTGGAACAGGAGGCTTCTAGCCCAGAGTGGCAAGAGACCTGCAGGACCCCTGTTCAAGTTGACATGCCTTAAGGGGTCTGTCTGTCAACTACACCTCCCACACTGTGAGATCTACAATAGTGAGTAATAATATTGTGAAGAATTAATTTCACTTTTCATGTTTTCTGAAAGAACATATTCTCATTATTTGCTTATTTATTTACTCATTATTATGCATTTTATTTTCTGCTATAGTCTCAGCATTGTTATGTTTGTCTTGTTGGTCAGAGAAATCTCTAAATGTTATATTTCTTTACCAGGTGGTTTACCATGTGACTTCCTGTCTGTAGCCCATGTGACTGATGAAAACATGGAGTTTATCCGTCCACATAAGATAACAGAAACGCACGTCATAATAAAGATCAGTGGATTCTCTGCTTATGGTGACGTCAAGGATGAAGACTCACCCACCGTTCCTATAAGAGCACTTGTCTTGTTGTTCTACAAACCCCCAGTTGTTCCTAAAAAGAGATCCATCCTGAATGTGCTGTTGCTTCCCAGAAATGTTGTGATCAGGGAGGTAAGAATATCTGAAATGTCAAACTCTACTTTGGCTGAATTCAATTAAGCACACATTGTGGTAAATGCACAGGACATTAAACCACAAATTCATGTTTTGTTAATGTTATTGCTTGTACAATGTTTTCTGATTGAAACATACTAACAAAATGTGCTTTTATGAAAACAAGGTGCAGGAGGAGTGGATAAGAAGGAATGAAGACAGAAACATCTATATTGAAACAAATTCTCACTGCCAACTAACTCCGAATCAAGAATACAACCTCTCCACAGATCTTACAGATGAATATCTAATAAAACCAAAGGTGATATCTGAGTTAGAGAGAGAATAATCATTGTTTGCACATGCAAATGATCTTATGATGTTACCTTTATATATTTAATTATTATATCATTTGATAGACTAACACTATCTTTCTACCAGGATGCAGAATTTGTGGATTTTGAATCCTATGAAAACTACATCCCAACATTTCAGTTGTTCATACAAACTGTTGTTGAACAAGTTAATCTTCTTCTGAAAAAGAAAATGGTGGTGTAGTGTCTGTCTGGGACAGACTTGTCTGGCTTCCAGGTAAGACGTAGTAGTAGTATTAGTAGTAGTAGTAGTATTAGTAGTAGTAGCAGTAGTAGTATTAGTAGTAGTAGTAGTAGTAGTAGTAGTAGTAGTTTTTGAATTGTTGTTATTGAACTATGAAATGATTATTTTACTTTTGTACCTTTATTTTATCAGGGAGTCATACTGAGACCAAGGTCTCTTTTACAGACGAGCCCTGAATTAAAATATATATTGTATCATATGATTATGGTTGGTTATAATGATTAATCACCATTAGAAACCTCTCAATAACAAACTACAGATTCATCACTATTATAAACCTCTCAATAACAAACGAGATTCATCACCATTATAAACCTCTCAATAACAAACTAAAGAAAATGTATCTTAAACAGTATCTTATCATCCTAGATAGGATTTTAATACATAATTTCCCCCTCCCAGTGTCAGCTGTTTCCCCAGCAGCCCCTCCTGCCAACCCCTCTACCCTCCCTGGTAGAGGCTTCATCAGAAATCACAGGATGGCTCTAGAGACTCGCCTGGGACTCTTGCAGCCCTTATTCCATCGTCTCCAGGATCATGGTGTTCTGATTGATGAGGAGAGGGAGGAGGTGGTCAGCAAATCCAGCAAGACCCTACAGAACCAAGCCCTGCTGGACATGGTGGTGAGGAAGGGGGCTCGCGCCCAGGAACACTTCTACCAGGTCCTGAAGGAAGTAGATCCCTACCTGGTCGAAGACCTGGAAGAGCAGACAGTCTGAGACAGGTGCCATGGATACCACCTCACAACCTTTAGAAGATATCAAAACATTTATCAGCGACAGAGAGCAGTACTTTGAGGAGGAGCCATCCTGACCAGAGGTGGTTGGTGTGTAACGTGATTGGACCCCATTCTCACCAGCACTCCCATCAGTCTGTAGTTTACTATACAAGCCCCAGGTCTCAGGCAAGGTGACATCACTGTGAGGCTACTGTCTACCAGACAACCTACCTGTGTTACTCTGTTACACTGGCTGCAGACTACAAGATCAGGGACTCTATTCTTTATAGTCTCCCAATATAAAAAAAATCATATTTTTATATATCTGTACATTGAAGAATTATCAGGAACATTGTGAATGTTTAATAATCTTGGTCAGGTCTCAGGCAAGGTGACATCACTGAGAATATAATCTATCAACAACTTGACTGTGCTACTCTGGTGCACTGGCAGCTGACTACAAGATCAGGGACTGTTTTAATGTTGTGACACAAACATTTTTATATCTGTACATAGTGCAGAAGTTTATATAATGGTATTTCTATGCTTTTTTAAATGTAAATATAATTATTTTCTTACATAAAAACATTGATCTGATGTATCATACTGTTGATCTATTTGTCAATGATACCCATGAATTTATGTCTGCAGATTACAATATCAACGACTGAGTGGTCTTCTACTGTGACATACAGCATAGGATAGCGTTTGTATTGTTAATATATTGGTAGTTAGTAATTAATTACACTACAAGACCAAAAATATGTGGACCCATGCTTGTCGAACATCTCATTCCAAAATCATGGGCATTAATATGGAGTTGGTCCCCTTTGCTGCTATAACAGCCTCCACTCTTCTGGGAAGGCTTTCCACTAGATGTTGGAACATTGCTGCAGGGTCTTGCTTCCATTCAGCCACAAGAGCATTAGTGAGATCGGCTGGGCACTGATGTTGGGCCATTAGGCCTGGCTTGCAGTCGGCGTTCCAATTCTTCCCAAAGGTGTTCGATGGGGTTGAGGTCAGGGCTCTGTGCAGGCCAGTCAAGTTCTTCCACACCGATCTGGACAAACCATTTCTGTATGGGCCTCGCTTTGAGCACGGGGGTATTGTCATGCTGAAATAGGAACGGGCCTTCCCCAAACTGTTGCCACATGAGTGAACAATGTATTACATTCCCAAGGAGGGGAGAGGAAGGGGGTCACAGTTAACTTCGGGGGTTCTGTGCCATAGTGTGAAACATTACGAGTTTTTCAAATGCAGGTCATGTAATGTTTACAAAGGACATCAAACATTTTCACACCACATGAAAAGTTAAGGATGTCTTATCTAACAAGATAGGCTATCTGCAACATTGTGAAAGTTTAACGGTCTTGAATGAGCCCCAGGTCTCAGGCAAGGTGACATCACTGTGAGGCTACTGTCTACCAGACAACCTACCTGTGTTACTCTGGTACACTGGCTGCAGACTACAAGATCAGGGACTCTGATGTTTTTAATAGTCTTCCAATATATTTGTAATATATTATATATATTTTGTATAGTAGATTATATATTTTTATATACACATATAATTTATATCTGGAACATGGTGAATGTTTAATCATCTTGGTCAGGTCTCAGGTGTGAGACAACATCTAACAGGGATTTTGTTGCGTTACAAAGTGGAATAGAAATTGATGTAGTGATTTTTTTTTGGGGGGGGGTCACGGATCTACGCAAAATACTCCATAATGTCAAAGTAAAAACAAAATTGTATAAATGTTTTTTAATTTTTTCAAAATATCAAAAATGTCTGTTATATACACTGAGTGTACAAAACATTAAGAACACCTGTTCTTTCAATGATACAGACTGACCAGGTGAATCCAGGTGCAACTCAATATTAGGAAGATGTTTGTAGTGTCTTAGGGTCTATGATTGTGCTGACGTTTGCAAAAGTGTGTTAGAGGAAACTTGGCTCTGCTTTCGGAAACATCTGGAAAGCATTACTAAATTCCTGGAAAAGAGGAAATGGGAAGATATGTGAAAAGCCAGGGATTGGTGTATTAAAATCACGCCATACTATGTCACATAGGATATAAATACCCTGTCTTAAACAAAGGACTGAGAGAGAGACAACATATGGGATCAACAGATTGGCCGTTTCTCTCCAGATATAACTGCAGATATCTGTAAATTAATACTGTGAACTTTGATACAATAAATCTTTATAATCAAAGAACAGTGTAAGCGGACTTCTTATCGTTTTGTGAGTCCAGGGTGTGTGCGTTCAGATGTACCGTCAAAGTACTTGTGTGTGCGCTTTGCTGGTATTTGCTGTGTGATGAGAATTCCGTTCTAAATTTTCTAAATTCGTTTGCGTTGGGAACAACGCAAAAAGGGGGGAGTGTCTATAGGGCACACCGATAGGGCACACCGATATTTGGCTTGAATAAAAGTAAAAGGAGTGTCCAGGAAAAGCATGAAGGTATAAGGCCAGGAATAAGGAAAAAGTATACTTTTAGGACGCCGTTAATTTAAGGAAGCCCTTGAAACAAGGCGATCAATATGATGGGCCATGAATCTTGATAGTTATTAGATTAACTCTCAAGTCAGTTCTGGGAACTGCAGATTGTAGAAGATATATTCAATTGTATGTTACCTCTCAGAATCTATTTGACGAAGTATTTGTCTGAAGTAATCCTCTCATTGAATGTCTACAACCTGAGGTAGCAGAAATTTAGCTAAGGAATATAAAGGAAAATAGGAACGGCGGTAGCATGCTTTGTATGAACGGATGCATTCTTTTCATGTGTGTATGAGAGGAACGGAGCCTGCGTGTGTGTGTGTGAGACAGAAAGAGCCACTGCATGTCTGTACATCTGATGTGTGCCAGCTGTGTGTCGACTCATGTTAGGATAAGATCTATGTTAGAGATATATACATATATATGTACGTTTTGGTTGAGAACAGGGATTTTTGTTTTCATAAGGAAATATAAGCCCCCTAGAAGGAAGTTAAGGTTAAAAAATCTTATGAGTCTCCGTTTGTGAGAACGTTAATAATTGTTAACTATGTATGAGCCCCCTGGAAGGACATTAAGTTAAAAAATCTTATGAGTCTCTATAAAAAGAGAACGTTTACTAACTAATCATGAGCCTACAGGGAGGACTTTTTTAAGAGTGTATAGAGATGTTTTGTAATTGATAACAACATAACTATAAATCTGCAGATTAGGTTAAGTGAAGATAAGAAACTTCGAAGTAGGATTTGTGTTCTATGTTCTGTGTTCCGTGTTCGTTTGTGAGCTCTGTTAAGTGTTATTGTTTGTCAAAAGGGGGAGAGAACGGAGCGACAGCTGGTTTGTCTACTCTGTTGTTTAGCTGGGAGAGAGCTGTTTAGGAGAGTTCTGTTCACTCTGAAATCGCATTGGTGACTGAACTGCGCACGCGTGGGATTTTATGAGTTTAGAGTTACGTAGAACAGATGTGCCACTCTCCTGCCTCCACTGAACTGCTGGGAGATGCAGTCTTAGAGCAGACCAAGAGGGAGGGAGACTTGCACACAAGTGGAATGTTCTGCTTGTTGAATTAACTGTTGCTTGACTGTGAAACT